CAAAATGGAGCTTTAGAAGAAATGTTCTGCACCGACGGCTCCAGACTGGGCGCCAACGGCGCCATTTGACAGAGAACGCGGATTAATTAAATGACCACTGGCGCCATCAGTGCATGCCCTATTTCTAGAAGATTCGACAAATTTGGACGCTTTTTGAAAAGTTTTTGGATTCACCTATTGGAAAATCGACATTATGCTTTATTTAGAGCCGAAATTAATCAGAAAAGACCCTGCCCCTTCGCACTCTTCAACCGCTTTTCACTCTCTTCCACACTATTCCACATTCCCTACAGCCACTTAGAGTCCATTAGTCATTTATTTTCTTTATAGCTTTGAGTTTTTGTGGTGAGTTTAAGTGTAAATTCTTCTCTAAGAGTGTTGGAGAGGGAGAGAAGTGAGATTTCTTCTTTTTATATTTCCTAAGAGAGACTACAAGGGATTTGCTTTAAGAAAGAGTTTCAGATAAGTGTTGTTTGTTTATTATTGTTGTATGAACTTTCTTTTATGTATGAAATTTATGTTTTGTTGTATCTTTCTCATGAAGTCTGAATAGTTTCTTTTATCTTTCTCCCTACTCTGAGATATGGTGAATGAAGAGATAATTTGGATGTGCCAATGTTAAAATATAAAATAAATTGTGATGGTTTTTCAACTCCTTTCTTAATTTAATTTTCGATCTGACTAATTGAATTGTTAAAATATGTTGTGAAACATATGATCCGGGAAATGGAGTATGAGTTCTACAACAGAGTGAGAATTACATTTAAGTCCATGAAGGAGTATTTTCTTCATGGAATTAAGTGCAAATAAATAGAGAAATACACATTGTTAGGAGTAGAATTGGAGATTTTAGGGTGACAGACTAAAATCCCCAATTTGGTCTTAGTGTTTAAGAACTAAAGTGAGCGTTAGCCTTAAGGGGAAGGGAAGTGGGAGCTCTGGAGTGGGAGTCAGTATCCTCCTAGCCTAGCCATGAATTTAGGGACTAAACCTGAGATTAGCCAATGATTTTCTGTAACACTGAATCAGGGTAGAGAATTAAAATTACTCCTATTTGACACAGTACATATTTAAATCATTTATCTCATCTCATTTTATCAAAAATTCATTGTAGTAGAAAAGTTGTTTTTTTATATTAGAAAACTTCGTCACACAAACATAGTAGTCACTGTTTTAAACTTTGCATTTAAATTTTGTTAGTTGTTAATAATTTAGTTTTGATAATATCTTAAACATTCGAAATTAGTGACAGTAATTTCGTTTTATTTCTGTGAATTTTCTAGTTAAGTGTTTAACGTTCTTATTCATAAGATACCACATCAAGTTTTTGGCATCGTTGTAAAGTGTAGCCAATTTTATAAATTTTAGACAATTATATTTTCGAAAATCATAGTGTTGATACCGCTTTTTCCTCCTTGCTTCCTTTCAGAAGGCTTATGCTAGTGTTACATGAGCATCTCTAATGGACCACAGGAAAGTGGTACGAGGAACTAGTGTTGCCTCTATATCGTTCCCGCCGTTTGCATCCTTAGCAGGTAGAGAAATCCGTCGTGTTGAGTCTTGTGATCAAACTGCCAAGGCCTACCTAACAGAATGTGGCAAACCTCCATAGGAACCACGTCGCTCCATGGTTGTTCATGTAACTGGTCTTCGATGGAGAAATCAACTAGGCACTGTTGATCTACACGTATCTTGTTTCCCTTTTTCAACCAGATAAGGGAATGACCGGGAATGCTTCTATGTGTCCAATCCTAACTTTTTTACCATGAGCCTGGACATCACATTCTCGCAGCTACCACTGTTGATGATCAGACTACAGACCTTCCCCTTGACAGTGCATCTAATGCAAAAAATATTATGTCTTAGCCAAGATTGGTCTCGCTCGAGCTCGGACTATAGTATTTGTCGAATGACTCTTGCCTCTCCTTCGTCTCAGTGGAGTTGAAGTTCTTCTTCTGGGGTCTCCTCTAATTCCTCATCAACTTCCTCAACGATGCCTTGATCTGTGAGTGTGTGAGTGTGTGAGTGTGACGGTGCAGCTTGTTGGGCAGTTGGAGGCTATGTGACCGTAGTCATGGCACCGGAAACACTTTCTTGCTGGCACTGTATTGGAGGAACTGCCTTTCTCTGGCTTCCTCTCGCTCTGATCGACCCTCTCAGTCCTTTGTCCAATTCTGTTATTTCCTCCTGAAGTATCCTTGTTGGTTGTAGATGATTGCTTAGTTGAAGTTGATGATCTAAACGATGATTGTTGCTTTGTTTTGCTTTTGTTTTTCCACATTCAGGGCTACTGTCTGGACATCCCCCAACATCCAGTATGGTTGTAGTTGTACCACATTGCTAATGACAGGTTTTAAGTCTCCGAGATATCCGACTATCATGTGGTTCTCTAGTTTTATCAGCTCATACTTTAGCTGCAGGTGGTCGGATTGGGACGTGAAATCCCCAACTGGTTGATCTCATTACTATAAATTGTGGAGTTTGAAGAACATGTCCTAGCGATATTGCGGTGGGAGGTATTTCTTCTGCATCATCTTCTCCCATTTTATTATCTTCTCACTTCCTTTTGTCGTCCCATGCCTTTGTAGATCTTCCCACTATAAGGAGACATTATTCTTTAGTTTAATTGCTTGACTCGTTTGTCCTTTGGTACATCCTTATACTCGAAGATTTGTTCGACTGATTGCAGTCAGTTGATAAACTCATTGGGGTCCATGCCTCCCTCAAAATTGGGAGGTCCATCTTGATGCCAATATCCTTCTGACCTTCATAAGGGGCCTCTTCTTTTGGCCTCATTTGTATTGGATACCAAAATGGTGCGGCCTATATTCTTCGTCGCTGTGATCTTCCCTGTGGAGCAGATTAAGATCCTCGTCTCTGTGTTCCTCATGACTCTCTCGATCAAGGTCGAAGGTTCTCGTCATCTGATCCGGTTAGTCTCCGATTGCATATGATGAATTTCATGTTGGATCTCTTCCCGAGTAGAGTCTGATGTCTCTCTCTGCGGTGGCACGGCTAGAGTTGGGAATTGGAAGAAAAAAAAGCTGATGTAGGTGAATTGGGCAAGGGAGGATGTTGGGGAACTGTAAAATAAGACTATGGTCGAGCTAGCTATGATATCATATGATATTGGAACTAGTAGGAAGAACAGTGGAACGCAGACAAATTTTTTTTTAATGTATAAATAGGATTACAACTCGACTTAGGTAATACACTAGGAGAATCCCCCAGCTAGGGATGTAAGAAGATGTCTGGAAGGCGGTGGTGGCGTCAACGGGGTGTTAGGGCAATATGGGAGATGTCTGGGGTTTGTTTGTGTAGTTGTGATGGTGTTTGGTTGGTTGTGGGTATATAGGACAGTAAGGTTGTAGGGGTAGTATGAGTGGCGGTAGAGTGTTGGAGGCATATGGGGGTAGTAAGCAGCTAGGGGAGAGGCAGGGAAAGGGATCGGTGAGAAAAGGTGAAGGTGATTGGACGTTTAGAACAACATCTCAGAGCAGGATACAATCGAAGCACCATCTGTCGTCTGGTACAACCCTAACAAGTGGGAAAAGACTCTACATCGAAGATTAGAGGACAACTCTACTAGAACTGTCTCTTACACACAGGGGATAGCTATTTATAGCCTTCTACTTCTACACGAAAGGAATGGGTTGGAAAAAGACAAGAAGAATCCAAAGAAGAAAATACTTAGAAAAAGACAGTGTGGAATACTCGCGAGACAACCTCCCGGATCACGAGGGATAGTGGCTCCCGCGAAAGGCTGCAGGGTTCTGGCCCCTGCGAAATAGCCTCCGCATCAAAGCACATTCAATTCCCGTGATTAAATGTACCCTATTCGTCCTCCATCAAGAGTCAAGGTTCCTTTCCCCATTTGCTAACTATTTTCAAAGCAATGTTGTGCTTATGTTGCGGATCAATTACTTGCATGGTGTGTTTCATATCTATAGAAATTGATTGCTAGCACCACCCTTATCCGAGCAGCGTTTCTCCAACTTATGGTGGAAGAGAATGAAATGATCTCCTCTGAGTTCGATATATTTTTTTCCTAGAATTACACGCTATTCTAAACATCATTTTAACACCATCAATGGTTGTCTTCCCTTGCTACCTAATCTTAGAATTCTTTTCAACATCACCACTTCAAAAGATATTCAATCTGAGGCAATAAATGGTATTTGTAGTTTACATAGCTTTAACATGTGAGGCCTTTTACTGAAAAAACATACAAATTGTATCAATGGAAGCAAAATTTAGAAGGTATGCTCCATCGGATTAATAGACCTGAGATCAATTGTACGATATGCAATTTTTGTTAGGTGAAGAGTCATTATCGATCAATATTCTTTGAAGAGCAAATGGGTATCTAAATGTGATTGTTTCATTTATTTTAGATTTTTTTAAAGAAAGATGAAATGTGGATGGTGGCACAAGTTATTGGTGGTAAAAATGAAACTGTTTCTACAGTACTATGTGATAAGGGAGTAATAAAGAGACTTTATAGTTAAATTTTATGAAATTGCGTTCAGGTTACATGTGCTAATTGATGTCTTTGTTGGGTGATTAAAAAGGCAGTCATACTGAATGTGATGGAAGTATGGTAAAGCTAGTAATTGTAGATTGAGAAATAATTTGATTAGAAATTTTGCTGGAGTAGCACCTATTGAAGATAAAATTATAGAAAATAAATCTTGGTGATGTTGGTATATACAAAATAGGGTTGAAGATGAGCCAAAAAATAATGCGGTGAAAAAAGAACCGCAAAACGTGACAGAGCTATGAAGTTGTGCAACATGTTTTGCAAAAAGTATAGTTAAAATATTGTGTCGCACTCAAGGAGAGTGATTGGAGAATAATGCTACATAAAGGCGGCCGGGACCTATGAGGAGGATGATAATTATTTTGATTCTTAATTCTCAGTGAATCAATTTTTTTGCTGGTTGAATATAGTTTGTATTAAAAAATTTGACTAGGTCCTACTCTCCATTTTTTTCTTACAGGACTCATAGTGGTGAGAGATCTGTAAAGAGACTGCGCCTATCTAAAGCATTGACAATATCTGAGAATACAACCATTCTTGAGGCTTGTCGCAGGATGGCTGCTAATCGGGTTGATGCTGTGTTGCTAACAGATTCAAATGCTTTACTTTGTGGGATCCTTACAGACAAGGTTTTCAATGACTTTTTTTGTACATATTGATCCACAATTTATTTTATTTGATGTAGCAGGCGTTGGTTTATAATGTTCTTCTATTGAAGGACATAGCAACAAGAGTAATTGCTGATGAACTAAAGCTTGAAGAAGTACCTGTGTCCAAAGTCATGACAAGAAATCCTCTTTTTGTTCTTTCAGACACATTGGCAGTGGAGGCATTGCAGAAGATGGTGAAAGGTACGTATGTTTAAATATAACCTTCCGTTTATTCCTTCTATGTGAAACCTATTGAAATCCGAACGATATTGCTCTGTCTGCAGGAAAATTTAGACATTTGCCTGTCGTTGAGAATGGTGAAGTCATTGCTTTACTTGACATTGCTAAGTGTTTATATGATGCCATTGCAAGGATGGAGAGAGCAGCTGAGAAAGGAAAAGCCATTGCTGCAGCTATTGAGGGGGTTGAAAAGCAGTGGGGAACATCAGCTTCGGGTATGCTAATTTGTTGGTTGGCTAGAGGTCCTAATCCGAATCTGTTTGCCATTTATTCATCATTTGACCTATTGATTAATTTGATAGCAACACTTTAATTTGCTTTTTCTTTTATTGCCAAGGTGTCTAATATCTTCTTTACTGGTCCAAAATAATAAGAGTAAATTTGAACTATAGCTGATAAAAGTATAGTTTATTTGATACTTACTTTTTGCTTAACAACCAGCTTCCAATACATTTATTGAAACTCTTCGAGAACGAATGTTTAAGCCATCCTTGTCAACAATCATTTCAGAGAATTCAAAGTAGGTAATATTCATATGCTATATTTTTATTGATGGCCTTGCAAATTGTTTTATGAATCCTGATGTTGCCGTAATTTATCAGGGTGGTGAAAGTTTTACCAAGTGAGTCGGTATTAATTGCTGCCAAAAAAATGCTTGAACTGAAAATGAGTTCTGCGGTTGTGGTAGTTGATGATAAGCCTCAAGGAATATTGACGTAAACTATTCTTGTTTCATGAATATTTCCAATCATCATATTTTTATGGGTAACACTCATTATATGATTTTATTTTGTGTCAGTTCAAGGGATATTCTAATGCGTGTAATTGCCCAAAATCTCACTCCGGAGTCAACCCCTGTGGATAAGGTTAACTTTTGCCACTTTTACTGATTACTTGAGTGTATTCTCTTTCCTTTTGTTGCGAAATAATCAGTTCTATTTCTATTTCTACAGTTTGGTATGAATGATTTTATTAGTCGGTATTTATTGGTCTGATTTGTGATTGTTTATTTTCTTTGTTGATCAAAAAATCCCAACTAATCATATCGAGCTGAAAAATTAATTTTGATTTACTTGAAAATTTTCATTAATCATATCGTTTAAAGTTCATGATTTTCCCAGTAGACCAGGTATCACGGAGAAATGTAGTGCAAATAGTTAAATCAAGGGAAAAAGGGATATGGAGGCTCTGCTCTAATTAGTTTATTTGCGGGTGGAGAAAAACTGATCCTATTTATAGAGAAAATATGAAAGAGCACAGAATAAGTTGGACAAATTCTTAAAGAATATTTTAATAATTTTTTTTTCCTTAGAATGGCTGGCATAATATTTATAATTTGTGTAAGTTTATTTGAAAAAATAATGTGAAGACAAGCTCATTGACAATAAAAATTTTATTGATCGCTAAGTTGAGCAAGGCATCAGTTTATTAAGATAGTTGAATATCAAAGTTTTGAAGGATAAATTAAGAAATTATTCTATTAGCGGAAGGATTGAATGACATTAGTTGATTTTAGACTTGGTGGTTTGGATAATGTACTATGAAAGCTTAAAAATGCACTGTAGGAAGGAAAATGGTTTGACTTGAGATAAAATGGATTTCTTTTTTTTTTTCAAAATGACATATGTTTTAACTGCTTTGTCAGCACTCAATTGGAACAATGAAAAAGTGATCTCCAAATAGTTGGGATACAGCAAATGATGCTGATGAAAAAGAAAATAGTTTTCAAAAAAATATATAAAGTTACGTTAGATATTGTAGTACTTTGACTTATTAAATTTTTAAATGCTAAGGTATGTTTTGTTGTTTTTAAAAGTAGCATTTTGATGCCTGCATTTAATAGTAATTATAATATTTTAATTTGTGGAAACTGTGTGTAAGCAAACTTATGTAATTAGGGGATGAAACAATAGGAGAGGGTAATGAAACAAAAACTTTGAAAAGTATTGTTGGTGTCAACTAATTAATTTGATTTTATATATGTAGTTGTGTTATGAAGTAACAAGTGGCGAAAGATGTACTTGAAGAATCAAAAGGAAAAATTTTTATAAATAAAAATAGTTGGTGGTGGAATAATAATGTGCAAGAAAAGATAAAAAATAACAAGTTGTGTTATAAAAATTAGTTTAAATGTAAAAGCTTATAAAGCTGAAAAAAATATAAGGTGACTCGTAGGGAGTCTAAGAGAACAATTTATGATGCTTAAAATTCTGCTTTTAGTGATATTTATGATAGATTAGATACTAAAGTGGGTGAAAAATATATGTATAAACTATCCAAATAAAGAGAAAAGAAAAGTAAAGATTTAATTCAAGTTAAGTGTATTAAAGATAAAAATTAAAAAGTGTTTTTCCTAGATGAAGATATTCAACATAGGCGGGTGTGCTATTTCGATAAATTTTTTAATGAAGTTTCTAAAAATATGATCGACCTTAGTAATCTTAATAACATTAATAATAATAATTTTTTTTATTTTTCTCGTCACATTGGTATAAAAAGAAGTTGAGGCTTAAAAAAAAGAGCAATGGTGGAAACTCAATAAGACCTGATGATATCTCAATTGAAGTGTTGAAATTTTTAGAAGATTTGGAGTTTCTTAGCTTACTAAACTCTTTAATATTATTTTAAATACTAAAAAGATGTCTGAGAAGTGAAGGAAGACTATTTTATCCCCATTTTTAAGAATAAAGGGATGCACAAGAGTGTGCAAATTATAGAGGAATTTAGTTGATGTGTCATACTTTAAGGAGCAAATTATAGAGGAATTTAGTTGATGTGTCATACTTTAAAATTATGGGAGAGGGTAATTGAACATATGTTAAGACATGATACGAAGACTTTTCATAATTAGTTTGGATTTATACAGGGCAGATCTACTATGGATGTTATACATTTATTGAGAGGTTTGATGGAGAAGTACAGGAGAATAAGGAAGATCTACATATGATATTTATTGATTTAGAAAAAGCTTATGGTATGGTTCCAAGAGAAGTTATTTGGAGAGTTCTAGAGAAGAAATGTGTTGATATGACTTATATTCATGTCATTAAAGGCATGTATACTATAGTTATTACTTGTGTTCGAACAGTTCTATTTCTGTCGAATTACATCAGGGATCTGTTTTAAGCCCATATCTTTTTGGTTTAGTTATGGATGCTCTTACTGAACATTTACAAGAGGATGAACCTTGGTGTATGCTTTTTGCTAATAATATCCTTCTCGTGGATAAAACTAGAGAAAGAGTTCAGGAAAAACTTGAATTATGGAGGTCTACATTGGAGTCTAATGATCTTCATTTGAGTAGATCTAAAACTGAATACATGGAATGTAATTTTAGTAGTAGTAGTAGTCTTAGTGACAGAGTTGTAACTATGGGTGATCATATCATTAAAAGGTGTGATTGTTTTAGATACCCTAGGGTCTATAGTTTAAAGTGATGGTGATATAGATGGGGATGTTATTCGTAGAATTCAAGTTGGTTGGTTGAAGTGGAAGAATGCATCGGGCCTATTGCGTTATAGAAAAGTACCGCTCAAACTGAAAGGAAAATTTTATAAGATGACGGTGAGATCTGCAATGCTCTATGGCACAAAATGTTAGCCTTTAAAAGAGAAGCATAAAACAAAGTTAAGTGATGCTAAGATGAGAATGCCTCGATGGATGAGTGACTTGACACTTAGAGACAATGTGAAATGTATATATCCCTGATAGGTTTGGTGCAGCACCAGTGACGAATAACATTAGAGAGAGTCGTTTAGATGGTTTGGTCACATTAAACGCCGACCATCTGATGATTCTGTTAGGAGAGTAGATGTTTTAGGCTCAACTTATGTTAAGAAAGGCAGAGGTGGATATAAAAAGACTTGGGCAAATTGTATAAAAAATGACACTCAATAGAACGCAATGGAGAAAGAGAATTCATGTAGCCGACCCTACTTAGTGGGATAAAGGCTTGTTGTTGTTGTTTTTGTTGTTGTTGTGTTATGAAGTCAATTTTTGTGCTTATAAATTTATTAGATTGGTATTGTAAGAAATGAATGAATCAATATCTTATATTATTTTCTCATTTTGAAAAGTATACCTTGAGAATTAATTTGGGGACATTGCAGCTAAAATGTGTTAATTATATGCTAAAATTCCCCATAAAATTTATAATAAAACAATGGCCATGTTTAGAATTTCTTTTAAAGTGAAAAAAAATGCTTCCAACCACAATATAATTTTTATTAGCGTCAAGTTGTTATCTTTTGCAATAGTTTTCTAGATGATTTCATCTATTCAAATTTAGCTATCGTAGTTTTTACTAACTGTGGAGGATGATTTTAACAATAAGATTTCTTAAGGTTTATCGGGAAAGTTAAAGAAAAATAGAGGTTACTTTTAGAAGATGAGGGGCTTAAGATTATTTGAACTAAGCTTAAATATTTCATATTTTATTAGTCGATTTAAAGCTAATAATTTTCTAATAATGGTGATGAATAGCAATAAGGTACATATCTTTAATCTATTATATGAAAGAATACACATTGGTATGATCTTAAAAAAATAAAAAGTTTTTTTTTTAATTAATAAAGAGTATCATCCAATAAAATATCAAAAATAGAATTGTCCTAGTTTTATTCAAACCATACTAATAAGATGTTAGTTAGCAGAAAATAAAATGACTTGGTATTGAAAACAAACTTGGCTAAGTATTATAGATCAGATGTAAACATGTGAATATTAAACTGAACTTCATTTGACATTGTTTATTCATTTATAATGCAAGTCAATTGATGTATAATGATTTTTTTTGTAATTATTTTTTATGGTGTATCCTACAATTTTGTTGAATGTCTAAGGTCATTAACATGCTAACATATCGTATATTTATCTCTATGATAGACGTAAAATATTAATAGGTTTTGTTGAATTTGTTTAGAGGATTCTAACAATTAGAGTTCACGTGGACGTCTCTATTTTGTGATTCATTGTGGCACTTTTAATCATGATGAGTTGATTTTTGGGTAGATCTCCTAAACATCTAATTTATGGCCAATCAATCAAAAAATTTGAAGAATTAGTTAAAGTATGCAACAACAGTGAAAAATAAATATAAAAAATTTGGCATTAATAATAAATCAACGTGCAAATTAGTTTTATTTAAATTCAGAGTGGCGTTTAGTTCATGCTTGAATAATAGAGAAACATGAAATATATGATCAAAAACAAAAACATTAAATTCAATCTCAACCAATAGTTACTGAAAGTCTTTAAAAGATCCCCTCAAAATTCAAAGTTCATCTTTTTTATATTGTTTTCCTTTGAATATTCCCATAAAATTGAAAAATTTTGGCCTTTAAATTACTCAAATTTGAATTGGTGTTCAATCAAGAGCCTAAGCTTCTGAATGGTCTGCAGATATTTGAGAAAAATCTTTTGTAAGAAATGTATGTCACATTGGTGCTATATCGAGTGCTCGGTTGCTGAGCTTTGTCTCAATTCTTTGTGGATCTGAGTCAGGCTTTAGGGCTATAGGATTCATTAGCAGGGCAATTGAGCTCTCTAATTGCATCCATTGAGTTGGATGTTGCTTGGATGGCTCTAATCGCTTTTTTATGTGTTTTGCATGTGAAATCCTCCAAAAAAATTTATTTTTTATTTTTAAAAAAATTAATTTATTTAGTGCACTGATTTTCTGAAAATTGAGTGAAAATAACTGTGTAAATCAAAGATCCAACTGTGGAAAATCTTACCAAATAATGCCTATCAAATACCCCTATATATAGATTAGTCCTTGTCTTCGAGCAAACCCAAATTAAACAGACATTACCGTGACACTATATACTACTTGTCGCATTAATATACATTCAAATTTCTTTCCTTATCACACTAGGCACATTATGTAGAGAGTGCACAACCCATATACTGACTTTTACAGAACTAATGCTCTACTTAACATAGATTCTCCAATAATATAGGTTTGAAAAAATTTTTTAAACATCATTTCCCACTCAGTATTGTGTTTGAAGATACAGAGAAAACAACAAACTTTTGTAAAGTGCAAGTATATTTCAATACCTTAAGTCTTATCCTATCGCTTTAGAGAAAGGTTTGTGTTTCATGACCACTTTCAATGACTCCAAGAGAGAACTAAAGATGCAGTTCTATCTCGAGAATACCGAGGATGAGGCTCGAGCGGATGAGGCTCGAGCCCGGCTGCAAAGGCTTAAGCAAGAGGGTTTGATTCGAGACTATATCAAAGGAATTTACAAGCTTGGTTCTTGAAATCCCAGATATGTCAGATAAGGATGCTCTCTTCAACTTCATGGATGGGCTCCAACATTGGGCAAAGACCAAACTTAGGAGGCAAGGAGTGCAAGATCTTACCACTGCCATCGTGGTTGCTGAAAGCCTGACTGATTATTCAAAGGAGTCTAGAAAACCTGAAGATAAAAAGAGTTGTGATGTCAAAGGTGGGGATGACAAGGGCAAACACAAGGAGGATAAACGTCGCGAGTCAACCTCAACAAAGGCAAGGGACGAGGGGAAGAATAAAAATAAGTCATATTAAAATCGCAGCTTTCTTTGTGAAGGACCTCCTCAGAAGAAGGCCCTTAACTCTCATCTTTCAAGCCATGAGGAGGAAGAAGAAAGTGATAGGGAAAAGGACATGGAGACACATGTGGGATCTCTTCAATTGTTGAACGGGATGCAAGCTCCGACAAAACCCCAAGGGAAGGGGTTATTCTTTGTGGAGATGGCAATAGAAGGGAAGACCACCAAGGCAATGGTGGATACAGGTACTTCCCACAACTTCATCTCCAGCAAGGAAGCAAAAAAGTTGGGGTTGCAGATGACTAAAGGAGGAGGCTCCATTAAAGTCGTCAACTCAGCAGAGATGCCAATCGACGGAGTGGCTAAGGGAGTTAAGACCAGCATTGGGGCATAGTCAAGTACTCGAAATTTTTTTATCATTCCTTTGGATGATTACAAAATTGTACTGAGAATAAACTTCTTGGAGCAAGCAAGAGCATTCCCAATGTAATTTGTCAATAGCCTGTGCATCACAGAAGAGAGTCAAGCTTGCTCAGTACCAATAATGAGGTTAAGCAAGCAAGGATCCAAAACGCTATCGGCAATCCAGCTCAAGGTTAGCATTGACCAGGATAAGGGGGACAACTTGGCTATCTTTCACGATACCAATGAAGGAGAAAAGACCCAAGGAGATGAGATGCCAAGGAAAGTGGTGGAGGTTCCACCAAGAAAGAAAAAAGATGGTTCAACAAGGTTGGAGGCAAGGGCTAAGCCGCCAGCCAGGAAGACTTGCTGCATAACACCCCTCTCCCATAACACCAAGGTGAAACTAAAGTTTGCCAAGTCTGGGGGCGAACCAAGAAGGCGGTTTCAAACATGCAGGGGAAGCCGCAATGAGGGCATTGCGAGTTTAAGTGGGGGAGAGTGTCAGGCTCCGCCACATACGAGAAATTGGCAAGGCAACCATGGAATGGAAGATTCTAGAGAAGGCCAGAAGGTAGAGAACCATCCAAGGGGTTCTAGAAGATTCCACCCAATTCTAGAGACTAAGAGGAGGAAAGGCTCCAAGAAGAAATTAAGAATAATCTAGAATATTCTAGGGCTATGTGTGTAATAAGAGAGGAATGTAGAACTCTCTAGAAACTAGTATAATTTAATGTATTCTAGAATGTTCCATTAAGCATGGAGGGGGCTATAAATAGGAGCCCCTCCCCTCATTTGTAATCACCCAAGCATTGAATCAAAGTTTTCAAGTATTCAAGTGTGAAGTGTTTCTTTCTCTCTACTCTTCTTCTTAAAAGTGTTTGGTGCTCACAAATCCAGGCGTTGTGAGGATTAGGTTGATTTGGTGCTAAGGAATAGCGCTAAAGCCGCACGGGTGACTTGAGGAAAGTTAATCCGTGACATCTCGCTCTGCTCCACTGCAGCTGTTTTCACTCTTTTACTTTAGCCGCCTACAACTTTGCCAACAAGTCCTCTCTAAAAGATTTTAAAAAAAAGTTTAATTTTGACTCTTGTATACTCTTCTTTCTTTTGAAGAATACGCCCAAAGTGCTAAAAAATTTTAGCTCTTGGTTTGCTCTAATATCAGGCTGGAAGTCAAGCACTCGGTGCCAAGATACCCCACCTATGTTCATATTTTGGGGCATAGCCTTTGTTAAAAATGAGTGTGCCGCTTTTGCCTAGGTTAGTGCTAGGTCAGGTGCTCATGCTTCGCGCTTTCTATCAGAATTTCGTGCAGACTTGGCCCAACCTTCTGGGTGTTGCCACTTACACCTAATTGAGGGCTTGAGTCTTCTTTGTCCATTGCATCGCGTGTTCCTTGGTACTCACTCCATTTATATGTTCTATATGTGAGTTTTTTGAAAATTTGGATTGCCTAAATAAGTTAAATTAATTAAGTTAGTGCGGTTGATCTTCAAAAATTGAGCGAAATAATTATTAAAATAAAAAATTTATTCTGGAAAAATCATACGAATAATGCTTATAAGTTATATACTATATATTAGGAGTATAGTTGAAGGCATCGTTTCTAGAGTTCAAACTTGATTTTTGGAGTCAAAGCCATATGATTGCAATTCGTGGAATGCCTCAAGATTTGGTGTAAAGCCTAAGGCATTGTTTCTAGTGTTCAAGCTTGATTTCTAGAGTCAAGCACCTAGCGCCTAGACGCCCCAACTGTTTTCATAATTCCGGGGCATAGCCATTGTAAATATGAGTGCTGCTTTAGCCCAAATCTAGTGCTATTTCAGATGCTCATGCATCGAGCTCTCTATCAGAATTTTGTGCATATTTTGGTCAACGTTCTAAGTGTCGTCTCTTGTACTTAGTTGATGGATTGAGCCCTAACTATGTCCATTGCATCAGATGTTGCTCAGAAATCTCTCTTTTTACATGTTCTAAATGTGATTTCCTTGAAACTTGAGATTGCCTACATAAGTTAAATTAATTAAATTAGTGCAGTGGATCCTTAAAAACTGAGCGGAAATAATAATGAAAATAAAAAATTTATTCTGGAAAAATCATTCCAATAATTCTTCTCAATTATATACTATATATTAGGTGTATGGTCGAAGGCTTTGTTTCTAGAGTTCAAGCTTGTATTCTAGAGTTAAAACCATTTCATTAAAATTTATGGAATGCTTTAAAATTACTTCATATCATGAAAAATTGTAGAGACGTAAACGTAAATTTTAGTTAGTTTTCAAAATAGAAGGCCATTTTTTATAAATTTAAGTGCTGGCAACAAAATGTTCATTGACAATCAAGTTGAGTGTGATAGAAATTAGAATGTAATGGTGGGTGTGTTGTTGAGAAATGATTTTGTTAGAGAGATGGTGAAAGTAATTTAATGTGGATAGGAAAGTGTCAAATGGATCACACCTTTTGCAGCACTCAACACGAATGAATGAACGAGGATTCATCAAATTAACCCCAATCTTTAATATTATAGGTGATGATGATTAACATATCTTTAATACATTAATTTATACATTAATTTCTTAAGCTTATGAATTCTGCTCAAGTATCATCTAGTATATTAGGTGCTGCTGAACACCTCGTTATCGAGGAATGATGAATGATTCTGTAAATTTTCTCTGTTTCTATATATTGGTTATGCATGAATTTGTCAGTATTTTGGTGATTCAGTATTGGTTGTTTTGTCTAATATTTCGTTTTACAGTTTCTCTTTATCTAGCAGATGCTCTGTCCTTGGAAAGATTTTTTAATGAGCCTTAGAAGTTAGAGATAACAGAATTTGAAAGCATCATGTTAATGCATTTGTTTCTCTAATCCAAATTTATCTGCAATACATGATACTGCACCTAAATCTTGTCTGTCACTGAATGATGAACATAAAATTTTCTGATATTTTTTTATTTATATTTGCTCGAGAAGTATCTGGGAGAATGATTGTGTGGCGATTACATTGAGAGGGAATCATGCTTATGGTCCGATTATACGTTTTACATGCAATGTACAGTATGAAAGTGATATATGTTGTATTCAAACATATATCCCTAGTCTCAAGATGACACAGTAACATGGACGCTATCGGCATGTGTTACTTCCGGTGTAAGAGGACACTTGCCACAATGCAGGAGTTTGGTTCTTCATTGCAGACGTTGTCTGCCTAAAGCTTATGGCTTGCTGCTGCTGTGGTTTTTACCCAAAAGAATATGCCTTATGCACTGTTAGGATCGCCATGCCAACTTGCAGTAGTCAGGAAGGTGCTGAAGAAATAGCGTAAATGTTTGGGTAACCGACATCAGCCAAGAATTTAATTGACTGATTTTTTTATTTTTGAGTTATAATTGAACTTCATACTACATTTCAGGCCAGCTTATAGAAAAATTCAATAAGGTTACATCATATCCTTGCGTTTAAGGTCTCTCTTTTTCTGTTAATGGCTTCCTCATATACAGAAAGATCTTTGGATGAACAACAGAACTAAAATGAGGGATAAAATAGTAGCACAATTTACCCTGTACCAAATATCTTACTCATTGAAACTCTCCAAGTTATAAAGCTCGACATATTTTCATTTTTTTTATATTTGAGATGTTTATCATTTTGTTTCGGTTTTGCAGACAGACTTTTTATTGTTTCAACTTTATAGGTTATGACTACTAATCCTGCATGTGGAACTGTTGATACGCCCATTGTTGATGCTTTGCATACAATGCATGAGGGGAAATTTCTTCATCTTCCTATTGTTGATAGAAGTAATCATATTCAGAGACCAGCGATAATTTGCTTTTTATTATTTTACTTTTCAATTTTATTATAGGATTTTTACTTAGAGTTTTTTTTTTAAATTTTTTGGTGAATGGATATTTAACAGATGGGAACATTGTTTCAGTTCTTGATGTTATTCACATCACTCATGCTGCAGTTGCTACGGTAAGACTTTCCTGTATGTAATTCATGCTTTTCCACTGGAACTCTTTTCTTTACAATTTAACCTTAATTTCAAATTTTTTGGACACTTATTTTCTCTTAGTTTTCACGTTTTTCTTTGCAAATTAATTAGTTGTACTGCACTTGAGTGATTTAGGCTGTTAAAAATTTCTGATCATCTGATCCGATCTATGTTCGATCAGTAAGTTGGCTTATTGTCACTAAATTTGATTATGTTGGTTGTCTGTAATTTTTGGTTCATTTGGTGTGGAGAGATTTATCTGCCATTCTTTTATGTGTTCATGTGTTTGCTAATTTGCTGCTTCTAGCCTTGGGCTGATAGCTCATCATATGCGCTACCTTCTAAGTTGGAGCTGTTTTGGTTAAAGCTTCATGCAGCTTTAATTGATTCCTTGCTATACCAATGCACCTATAGTTGATCTCTGAATAACCATGGCAATTTCATACTCGATTGTCACTTGAATCTGAGATCATAGACTAGCAATTATTAATATTTTTTCTCTGGTCCTTGTCCATATGTTATGATTGCTTTTGTGGCCTGTTTTATGTTCCTGTATATGAATTCTGATGGAAGTATGCTAGTAGCATATTGAAAATATCCGCTCTGAGAATAATATGCTAACCAAATCTACATTCCCAATTGCTCCTCTTGAACTGACTTTTGTAACCAAAATGTGGCCTGTCGCCTTCAATATTTATATATTAACTTGATCATACTACCGGATGTTAGCAATTCTCTGATGTTATTTGAACCTTGCTTATTGGTGTCTATCTACTTAATTAGGTGGGAAGTAGTGGCGTTGGAGGAGCTGAGACAACAAATTCTCTAATGCAGAAGTTCTGGGATTCAGCTATGTCCATTGGACCTTTTGAAGATGATGACGATAATTGCAGGTTATGTAGTTTCTCTTCAGTGGTCAATGTAATGTTTCTTCTATAGGTGATGATCGTGCACGCACAACTGACAGAAGAATCTCTTCCAGTGACAATTCAATGAAATTTGCATCTGATGGAACGGACACATTGAGAGCTGCTGCCTTTTATCAGTCTTCTGGCCTCTCTGTTTTTTCCTTTAAGCTTCAGGATAGGAAAGGCAGGATGCATAGATTTAATTGTGGTACTAAAGCATCTCGTAATTAAATCATCTCATCTTAAATCTACTGTTAATTCATTTATAACGCCGTTATTTGATCTATTTTTGACATGGATTTCGATAATTCAAGACACTTCAAGCTTGACAGACCTCATGGCTTCCATCCTTCAGAGGGCTGGTGATGACATTGATAGGAATAATCTCCCCCTGATATTGGTATGCATGACATTCTGCCATCTTCCTTAGTTGAGATTGTAACATTAATTTGCCTTCAGAAGATAAAATTGATGTCTTTGGTGTTTTCGTCCTAGTATGAAGATGAAGACCATGATAAGGTTGTTATTGCATCAGACAATGACCTTCAGGCAGCAGTAGACCATGCTAGACAGCTTGGTTGGAAGGTATCTTCAACTTCGATCATGATGCTTATTCGTTCTCTTCTTTAGCGTTGAGCAGTTTTCTTTCAGCGCTTGGTTGGTGAATTTGGTAGCCATCAGAATGTGTTCAGAAGGCAGAACTTCGTTTTGTTGTGCTAATGCAGGGTCTTAGACTGCACTTAGAATTCCCAGGCTCAGCGTCTCGTCGGAAGCATCTTGGTGGGCAAGTAGGAACAGAACACGCTCATAAGGATGCATGGGCCTCAGCATACAGTGCGGTGGCTGCAGGAGCTGCCCTTGTTGCCGGTCTTGGTGTCATGGCTTTTCTTAAGAGATCAAGCACATAAAATGCATCTTTATTGCAAACTGTTTCATACTCCACACTCCCAAAATATAAGAGACAGCCTTGTGTAAGGTCCAGGAACTAGCAGATGATTTGTATACCAATCATTCTCCAGAAAATACAACAATATTTGTAATTTTTTTCTTTTTTATGTGTTTTCTAGCTAAGCATAATTCTCAGGAGATGAATGTTTTATTCTCCTGGAATAAAACTCCAAATAAGAGTTTGGATTCAGGATCAGAGCACTGTAATGGTTTATATCTGATTATTCCTAATGAGAATATCTTCCATGAAACTCTCTTAGTGGTTGTGCATTTGTTCTATAAAACAGACAACCCAGGCATTCTCAAATAAATTTTTGCTATATTTCGGCCGATTGATATTGCTTGGTAAGCTTGCTATTTGGACAAGTTCTTTCTGTATCGCTGGAGGTATTAAGTGTAGATGCACGCAATATAACACATCTTGTACATTGCAAATTGAAGGGACATACATTTTGTATGGGTATTGTTATGCTCCTCAACGTAATTTACATTTTTTTTTTTTGTTTTCTTAGGTGTATCAACTAAAATGGAGGAGATCATCATATATTTTTATATTTGTTTGAATAATGCTTTAATTTGCAGGTGTATTTGATCTTGAGTTTATTTTTATATTTGAGATAAAGTGATGCTAGGCTTTAACCAAGGGATGTGAGGCTATGCTTGAAATTAAAGTGTGGTGGTGAATTTTGACCAACTGAAAGGAAGAATAATAAATGGACAGACGTGAGGCTATGCTTGTAAATGTATTAATGCATAGTGATCTATATGGATAAAATAAGAAAGAGGATAGTGTACTATGCTTGAGTGAAGTATAAGCCTTTGATTTCCTTGGTAAAGAGAGGGGAAAAAGAGGAGAGGGTTTCAGTGACATGTGGAAGAAAAAGAACAAGAGGAGAGGAGAGGAGTGTTTTGGGAGAGGGTTTCAGTGACATGTGGAAGAAAAAGAACAGGAGGAGAGGAGAGGAGAGGAGTGTTTTGCCTAAGTGAGAAGGAAGAAAGGAATGAGGGGAATGCTTCAAAGAACTATTTTAAAGCATGAAAAATTGAAATTTAGAAAAAAAGGAGGGGGTGGGGGGAGGCGAGAAGAGGTGTTTTAGACAAAGTAGGGAGGGAAGAAAGGAAGAGGGAGAAAATTTAAATGAAGGAATTAGGGTGGTTATGAGTGGTTAGGGCTAAAAGTTAGCCTTAACTCATATGGGTCAAAAAAAATTAAGGGAACATAATGATGAAGTTGGTTTTGGTCAAGGTGGGCCTTATCACAAGAAACTTGAAGTCAATTTGTGGGCCCCACCCTAGGAGAAATTTTTTGTAATTTTTTTATGAAAATTTTTTATGAGTTTAAATTGATTAAAATAAATATTTTTAACTTAATTTTACTTTTGTTTGAGTTTGATGATTATTTAAGTTCAATTTAGGGTGTTATCATGATTATTATCTTTATTATCCTCATTATTGTTCAATTTAAAGTAGTCTTCCCAAAAACATATTCTGATATGGGTAGGAGGGGCTCATTTGAAAGGTTTTTACAATTCAGATGCACTCCTGCAATCCAATTTGAAAAATCACACTTCAATGAAAAAAAGTTTATGTTAAACTAATATTCATGCATGAAAACCTAAAAACAAAAAATTTTACTCAAAATTGGTGTCTGATCGTCATGCAACTTATTTGCATACTTCTCATATCTGATAATGATCATCATGTACCTTTCAAAAAAAAAATTCAAGCACTATGATGATCTATAAAAAAATGATAATTTCATGGTGCATTTGAATTAAGCTAATTCTTAGTTCAATTTTAGGGTTTGATTGAAGTTGGATAAATTCGATTCACATTTTAATTTTGTTAAGTTCAATTTTTTGTTCAGTTAAATATTAAGTTTAAATTTAAAATAGAGTTGACTTAAATTTTAGTTTAAGTCGAGTTTATGTCCTGGCTGATCCAAGTTTAATTCAGTCATATATTGACATTATGAAATGGTACTAGGTACATATGAGATTAGATATAAGTTGAGGGGAAGGGTTGACCAAAAGTGAGGTCAACAACCAAATCAGTGATGATGCAGCACCATTATTGGGTACCATAGCTTGAAGCTAAATGATAAAAACTTTTACCTGCATGTCAAGGCTAGAATGTTCCCAGGTCAACCGACATGAAACTTGCCACATCAGTAGTGTTGCGACACCGAACCAACTTTTTGCTCTTTAAAATAGGCAGCCCGAGCTACCTCAAGGGTTCAATTTTTTTAGTCTTTGACTCCCTTTTGGCCCCTCCAGAGCAAAATGAGGGCTCAGACACCACTACTCCATTTTCCTCTCATTTCAAAGAAAATTTCATCGCTGGCGATTGCTTAGCTTATGATCTAGATACTCATGGATACATAGAGCAACATCAGATCTTAAAACATAAAAACATCATCAAAATCTCCGCACAGGTGAAACTCTTTTCCCTTTATTTTATCTCTTTTTAAAGCCCTTAGGGTGATGTTAGAGATTTAAAATAGGTTGTTATTAGAGAAAACTGCTAGGTTATGTTCCTTTTTAGCTTCCCTATATTTTTCTTAAGCATCCAAGTGCTTTTCCTCTTTTCTTTCACCCTAGAACTATGGCAATGTCCTTTAGGCGTAGTGGCACCATACCCAATTTTGAGCTTGCTCTACAACACCTTGCTTAGGTGGTGTAGCGTCATATGGCTCATTGATAGTGCCATGAAATTGCCTCAGTGATGATGCAGTGCCATCTTATTTTTGTTTGACCTAGAACCATGACCCTACCTTTTGGCACCGTAGCGCCAGACCCTAACTTTCTAGCTGAAAGTCGCAACACTAATTTTAGCATTGTGGCACCATACCTCATATATGTCTGGTCCAAAGGTGTGGCACCGATATCTAGTATCGCAGCCTTATGCCATGAACCTCTGCTTGGCCAAGCATGATAATGTGTTCTACACTTAGAGCTACAACACTTGGCATTATTGCAGTGAGATCAATTTGACATTTTTTTCTCTCCCATAAATGTGATCGTAGTGTAATGAGCATGGTTCTGCATGCTATCTATTCAAGTTTGGCACTTTTGTCAAGCAACTTATGTTTTAACCTTCATAGGTGTATGACTCTGTGTTTCTATCCTAGATCATTTGTTGCACCACTTTGTAGGGGTTGCAGTCCTCATCTCTCGACTGGTTCATTAGGCGGGTTTAGTTGTGTCAAACCAGGGATCATTTCTTATAGCGAGCTTGTCATTATTAGATAAGCCATTACTATTTATCCTTTTTGAAAACCATTCAAACCACTTGGTGAGGCATTAGGAACTACACTGGAGTTCTTCCACTAATTAGGAGTATTAGGGTGCATTAAGTATAGAGTGTCAGCAAAGTTCACAATCTGGTCTGAAGACTGAAATGCATGGTGACATAGCACTGTATTGCAAATGTGTGGTGGCGGTACTCTTTTCCCTCCAGTTCAAAGGGGTAACCCATAGTGTTGTAGTGGCATTCCGCTTATTTGAAGACCTACGTTTGAATGCATGTGTCTGCTTTCCATGTATAATCATATGTTTTAAACTATTTCATTTTAGTTTATGAATGTTGGTTGCAAGCACTTTCAAACACTTAAAAATTAAAAAAAATACTTTAAACCCATTTAAAAAAAACTTCATATGTTTTAAACTATTTCATTTTAGTTTATGAAAGTTGGTTGCAAGAACTTTCAAACACTTAAAAATTAAAAAAAAATACTTTAAACCCATTTAAAAAAAACATAAAACTTTTTATTAAACACTTCAAAATTTAAAACAATTTTAAAAGTTTTAAAATAACTTAAGAACTCTTAAACACATAAAAAATCAAAACACTTTAAAAATTTTTAGATTAACTTAAAACTCTTAACCTTTTGAAAATATTAAAATACTTTAAACCCATTTAAAATAGCTTAAAACTTTTAAAAGCATAAAACTTGAAAATAACTTAAACCTTCAAAACAACTTAAAACTTTCAAACACTTGAAATTCAAAACGCTTTAAAATTTAAAACAACCTAAACATTAAAAACACTTAAAAATTTTAAAACACCTTAAACTTTCAAAACAATTCAAAATTTTTTAAAGACCTTAAACATTTTAAACATTTTAACTCTTAAAAAGGCTTATACTTTGAATCACTTAAAATTTCAAAAATTTCAAAAATACATTTTTAAATAATTTAAGCAATCGCCCCTCCAGATTATGTAAGCTTGCACCTTTTAATACTAAAATTTACAACTTTTTAACCAATTTATAGAGTAACCTTTTAAGCTTGAAATCTCATATTTGTGACTCTCGTCTTAAATCATATAAACTTGAATTTTTCATATAAACTTCAATGACAACTTCAAACTAAACCAAACCTAAGGATAAAATAGAATGGTGTACATCAACTTCGACCAGAAAACCAAATGCAAAACATCAAACTTATAATGCCTTGGTTTTTATATTGACCAACAAACTAAGAAGCCAAACCAAATCAAAATTTAAAATATCAAACTTGAACAAAAATATAAAACACACCAACTTAAACAACAGAGACCACACCAAGGCAATCAATTGTGAACCCTAGGTTAGCCAACTTAGAAATAAAGCTCAAAATAGCACAAACTACTAGAGTAATCCACTCTAAAAGTTTTTATTAGACTATTAGGAGCCCCTAGTTAGTACTTAGGACTAGGATATATAAAACAACAAGCATTTAACTCTCTTAAGCTATGTAGGTGTCCCAGAATGAAATAAACCGCAGTTACTGACGAAGTCACGTCTAACGATCTATTAGTTAAGAATGTCAACATTCAACATTACTACGGTAATAGTGAAGATCTCCTTAAATTTAGTTAGTTAATAGTCTAAGGCAACCAATGAACTTGGGATAATGACAAGCTATGAGCATCTTGACTGAGGGCATTATACCTAAAAATTATGTTGGTTTGTTTGTTTATCCTTCCTTTAGAGACTAAATTTATCACAAGACTAGAATCTCAACTTCAACCTAGACATCCTTCCATCCAATCCTATCCCTTTAGTCTAGGATTCAAGACCTTGAAATCAATCTTTCTAGATAAAGATTCTAAAATAAGATCTCACAACTCAAACTTTTTACTCAAATATTAATCCTTCAAAGCAAACCATTCAAATCCTATCTTTTGAAATCAAACAATTTCAGCCCAAATCAAATATTTTTAACTCAAATCAAACCTTTTTAACTCAAATCAAATATTTTGAA